AAAATCCAAACACCTTTCTGAAGCTGACAAGGCCCAGCTTGATTTGCAGAACCACGCTCTTAACTTCCTATTACTTCTTCTGTTCAAAGTGCTTTAGTCACTCAGGCTTTGGGCAAATTTTGCTTTACCCAGCTACTTCTTTGTACGTTACGGCCTTTTCTTGAATAAAAACTACTCTCTCTCAACTTTTAACCTGGTTTGTCTTGTAGGTTGCAGATGCCACCTTCCTCAGTGTCCTTCCATAACCACGGTTTTCTGTTTTTATAAATCCGTTTGTATTTCCTTTCTTGTGTATTTCTCTTTTCACAGTGTCCTGTGTATTTCTCATATAGTTTGTAATTGTTTTGTTAGTTAATTAATTAGAGACAGTTTGACTCTATCACCCAGGCTGGAGTGCAATAGCCTAGTCATAGCTCACTGCATGCTGGAACTCCTGGACTCAGGATCCTTCTGAGAAGCTAAGAGTCTGTAATTGTTTGATTCTCTCTGTTAAGTTATAGTCTTAAACTCTTGGAGGACAAGGACCTTCTCTATCTTGTCTGTGGTGGTGGTCCCAGCCCTTAATGTAGCTCCTGGCAAATAGAAGGTACTTAATAAAAACAAAAAAAATTTTTTTTGAGACAGAGTCTCACTCTGTTGCTAAAGTACCATGGCATCAGCCTAACTTATAGCATCTTCAAACTCCTGGGCTCAAGTGATCATCCTGCCTCTACTTGGACTACAGGCACCCACCATAAAGCCCAGCTAATATTTCGATTTTTCGTAGAGACAGGGTTTTGCTTTTGTTCAGGCTGGTCTTGAATTCCTGAGCTCAAGCCATCCTTCCACCTTGGCCTCCCAGACTGCTAAGATTATAGGCATGAGCCACTGTGCCTGGCCACTTAATGAATTTTGAATGAGTCAATGAATAAATGGAAGTGTTAATCAATGTGCATGATTGTCTACTAAATCTTTCTTATCTGATGAAGTGCCTTATCACTCCCAACCTATTCATCTTTTTTTTCCTTTTGAGACAGAATCTCACTGTGTCACTCTTGGTAGAGTGCTGTGGTATTAGTCACAGCTCACAGTAACCTCAAACTCTTGGGCTTAAGTGATTCTCTTGCCTCAGCCTCCCTAGTAGCTAGGACTACAGGTGCCTGCCACAACGCCCAGCTATTTTTTGGTTTCAGTTGTCATTGTTGTTTGGCAGACCAGGCTGGATTTGAACCTGTCAGCTCTGGTACATGTGGCTGGTGCCCTTAGCCACTGAGCTACAGGTGCTGAGCCCATTGTTTTCATTTCTAAGGTAAAGTTCAAGTTGTAGATGAGCCCTTCATCCAGGGAGCATGCTGAATACCCTTAGCAGTATGCATATCAGGTGAGATCCTGCCAATCACCCTCCCGCCTCCCCTGTTACTCAGGTGCCAAGGAAAGAGTGATTCTGGTAGTTCTTGATCCTCTGTCTTTGAAATAAGTATTAGTACATAAGATAGAGTGGATTAAAGCAACGTTTTTCAAATTGCAGGTTTCAGCCCATCATTGGTGGGTTATGAAATCAGTTTACTGAATCATGATTAACAATTTAAAAAGTGAAAAATGAAGCTGGACGCAAAGGTGCGCACCTATAATCCTAGCTCCTTGGGAAGCTGAGGCAGGAGGATCTAGTCCTAGGAGTTTGAGGCTATGGTATGTACACTATGATTGTGCCTGTGAATACCCACTATATTCCTTGGAAAATAGACACCATCTCTAAAAGAAAAAAAAAAGAAATAGAACTTATCAGAGAGTATCAGGAGTCTAAGTATTGTGAAACTTCTGGTTATATGTGTATTTGCAGGTGTGTTGAGTCTCGTAAATTATATTTCTTACTGGGTTGTCAAAAAGTTTGAAGACTGGGCAGGGATGAGAACTTGTAGCATAGGAGCCACATGTGGCTGTCTAGGTCTTTGAGTGCAACCTTTTGACTGAATCCAAATTTTACAGAACAAATCCCCTCCTTTTTTTTCTTTTTCTTTTTGAGACAGAGTCTTATTTTGTCGCCCTTGGTAGAGTGCTGTGGCATCGTAGCTCACAGCAACCTAAACTCTTGGGCTCAAGCAATTCTCAGCCTCCCAAGTAGCTGGGACTATAGGCGTCTGCCACAATGCCTGGCTAAAAACAAATGCTTTTGATAAAGGAATTTGTTCTGTGACGATTGGATTCAATTGAGGGACTGCACTTGGAGATCTGGAGAGCCACAGTGCCCTTGAGGTGACAGGTTCCCCATGAACTGGGATTTTAAAAGTAGAGTTTAGACGCAGTGTGGTGGCTCACACCTGTAATCTTAGCACTTTGGGAGGCTGAGGTGAGTGGATTGCTTGAGCTCAGGAGTTTAAGGCCAGTGTGAGCAAAGTGAGACCCTGTCTCTACTAAAAATAGAAAAACTAGCTATGTTGTGGTGGGCACATATAGTCCCAGCTACTCAGAAGGCTGAGACAAGAGGATCTCTTGAGGCCAAGAGTTGAGGCCAAGAGATTCCTGTAACCTATGACACCATGGCACTCCACACAGGGCAGCTAAGTGTCACCTGACTTAAAAAAAAAAAAAAGTTTAACCAAAGGACAAATCGACTACTTTGAACCAGGCCAGTGACTATCTGAGTCTTTTCAGAGAAGATTGTTTCTCAACTTCTTATATAAGCATTCACTATTTACTTAGTCTAGATAACTTCAAAGGAAAGCTTAAAAAAAAACCAAACTGGTCAATAAAATGCTTAAGGAATGTTTAGGAAACAGTGGTGTAGGGATTTTTCCTAAAATTTTCTGAAGATGCCCCCGTGACCAATGTTAAACAAGAAAAGGGAGACCAGACCTCACCTTTCTCGGGTATCCTCTCTCGCAGTGACCCCTGGAAAACTCAGAATGCCTCTTGGACACTGTCTTGGAAAATTAAACTTTGGGTATTTTTGCTTATAGAAGGTTCTGGCCGGTGCTGGGTCTGAACCCACCACCTCCAGCATATGGGACTAGCGCCCTACCCTTTTTGAGCCATAGGTGCCGCCCTTGAGTATTTCTTTGTAAGGTAAAACGAAGTCTATAGATAGAATGTGGCAAAAAACCCAAACATTTTGGAAAAAAGCTATCTTTTTTCCAAAGGTCATTGATGAGCAGAATGACATACGTGACTCATTTGAAGACTACCCAGCTGTTACAGACCTGTTAGTTGGAAAATACAAGGAAAGGTTCACTCACTTTGAGAATCATGCTCTGTTAAGGTGAATGCTATTAGCATTTCTACCTCACTTGGTTGCTATCCCCAGGGCACCTAAGGAACTGTAGATGGTACTGATTGAGCTCTCAGTAGATGACATGTGAAAGTCATTGTTTGATTTGAAGAATGATCCAATTAAAATGGAAAAATGCAGAATACCCATGCCTTTGGGAACGTGCCCGAAAAATGCTTTCTTGCTTTTCAACCACTTATTGCTGCAAATCAACATTCTCTGACCTAACCCAAATCAAGATGCCCTTACAGTCACAAACGCCAATTCCCATCTAGGCGATCAACTAAAACTGTGGCCCTCCATGCTACAGCCAAATATTCAAATACTTTCCAACAAAAGCAGACACAACAAAGTCATTAAAAGGTTAACTAATTTAAAAATTAAAAAAAAAAAAAGGAAGGGATAGGCAGTGCTTGTGGCTGAAAGGAGTAGGGCGCTGGCCCCATGTACTGGAGTTGGCGAGTTCAAACCCAGCCCTAGCCAAAAACTGCAAAAAAAGAAAGGAGGGGGGAAGGGGAATGTGTAACTCCTGTTGCTTTCTGAATGGTTAAGAGGAGCAAACACTGGGAGAGCCAATTCCTGCCTGAGGAGTGCCTTCAGACATTGAGCTGTTGCGTTTCTCTGCTTCCCAGAAATAGATCTTTGGGGAAACAGACCATATAAAACATGAATCTGGGAGGCAAGGCATGGTGCCTCACGCCTGTAATTGTAGCACTTTGGGAGGCCTAGGTGGGTGGATGGCTTGAGCTCAGGAGTTTAAGACCAGCCTGAACGACCTTGTCTGTACTAAAAATAAAAAAAACTAGCTGGGGGTTGTGGCAGGCACCTGTAATCCCAGCTACTTAGGAGGTTGAGGTGAAAGGATTGCTTCAAGCCCAAGAGTTTGAGGTTGTTGTGAGCTGTGACACCACAGCACTCTACCCAGGATGACAGAGTAAGATTCCATCTCAAAAAAAAAAAAAAAAAGACATGAATCTGGTGAGATTTTTATTTGAAGCAAATTTATTTTAGATGTAGAAACATTTTATAAAATTGCTTTTAAATTTAATTTCTTCCAGTCATGGTGGCTCACTCCTGCAATCCTAGCACTCTGGGAGGCCAAGACAAGAGGATCACTTGAGGTCAGGAATTTGAGACCAGCCTGAGCAATGCTGAGACCCCCATGTCTACTAGAAATAGAAGACATTAGCAGGCATGGTGGTGCAGACCTGGAGCCTCAGCTACTGAGGCAGGGGTATTGCTTGAACCTGGGATTTTGAGGTTGCAGTGAGCTATGATGACACCTCTACACTCTATCTGGGGCAACAGAGCAAGACTCTGTCTTAAAAAAAAAAAAATTGGGCAGCGCCTGTGGCTCAAAGGAGTGGGGCGCTGGCCCCATATGCCGGAGGTGATGGGTTCAAACCCAGCCCCGGCCAAAAACTGCAAAAAAAAAAAAAAAATTAAATTTTGAATAGATGAGAGGTAATTGTTATTTAAAAAAAAAAAGTGAAGCAGAAAGAATGCTAGTATTACCCATGCCTGGTGGTACCTGCCTGTAGTCTCAGCTGCTCAGGAGGCTGAGATGGGAGGATCAATTGAGCCTAGGAGTTTGAATCCAGGCTGGGCAACATAGTGAAACCCTGTGTTCCCACCATGCAATTGAAGGAGAAAAACCAATAATGTTACTTTTGAAGTCGGCTGAGTGGTCCTTCTTGGTCTCATCTCTTTTTGCCCATCCCTCTTGGAAGTAACCACTGTCCTAATCCCCTCTTATGCTTTTTAGTGTGACCCTTGAGGTATGTATTGTTCTGTTTTGCATGATTATAGATTTTGTATAGAGTCAATTGTGTGTGTTCTGTTTACTGTTTTTGCTCATTAATATATTCCTGGGGTTATCCATGTTTGTGTATGGTGGTTATTAATGTTTAGATCAGTGGTTCTCAACCTGTGGGTTGCAACCGCTTTTT